TATATATATATATATATATATATATATATATATATATATATATATATATATATATATATATATATATACACGTTACTTACTAAGTCTAGGATCTTAAGCATAAACGCGAATCGTCGAGAAAGAAGAAACCCTTCACCTTCATCCCTTCCCGAGTTGCGCCGCTATCCTCGATCCTGCCTCGCGCGTTCCATTTTCTACTTTGTATTATAGTACATTACGATCGGCACACCTCTCACACGCCCTTCCCTTCTCCTCTTCTTCCCGGACGCTCTACTCCCTTCCTTCTCATCGACCTCCTCCTCCTCTTCCACCTCTTCCTCTTCCCGCGATAATGCTCCCCCTTTCTCCGCGCGATTTCTCCGCGGAAACGACGAGCAATATTACTTTTAACAAGCACGGAAAATTTAGGGAAAAAGAGCATACGTACAAATCGATGCATGACCGTGCACGCGCGCGCGAGTCAAGTGTGAGCGAGTCGCACACGAGACCTTTGTTTTACGCGTTGTGTGCGTTGTATGCGCGTTAGGCGTGGAATGCTCGGCATGGTGAACACGGCGGGTGAACACGGAATCGCAAGCCGCGTCGGAGCAAATGCAAAAACTATCCGCGCCTCAGGGAAAGAGCGGCGATTAGGCGGAAGAACGGGCTCCCTTCTGACCGAGAGAGTGGAATCTACATGATGTCCTGGTTGTGTGGTGCGCGCGCGCTTTCTCGCGGGACCCTCTCGTTGCGAGAACGCGCGAGTCAATTTTTCGCTAACGAACGTTTCGTTCGAATAACTGGACTCTGCGCTCTCGCCCTGGGCACTTTGCGGAACTTGGATCGCGTGAATTTAGTCCGTGAATCGCTCTCTTTAAATTCGATAAGATGTGAATCGGAGTTCCGTAAAGTTCACTCGAAATGAAGTATCTTTAATCTTCCATCACTCATCGACTCAAAAGTTATGTTTGCACGAGAAAGTTGGGAGAAAGAGCACGATGCGCAAGACATCCTGTGGAGAGCGAGCTGAAGGGAGCCGAGTCGAGTTTTCATTTCTAATCCGTTTCACCCTCCGGTTATGTTGTACGCTAAAGGGAGAATTCGGCGTGTATGTGTGCGTGTATGTGTGTGTGACGATTCCACGGAAGAACACGGTGGACGCGCGACCGTCCTCTTTACAATTTATTTCTAATGTTCGCGATTATCCATCGTGGATATCGTGCGAAACTTCATTTCTTTCATCATATCGACGAGCGAGACAAAATGACGAATAATCGTTCAACGGATGCGGAATTATATTGTCCACTGTGTCTTTCGTGCGGAACAGTCGCGTTGTTCTTCCACGATGTTATCGATACCAAGCGGAGCTACCGGAAACGGACGGCGTTGCGTCTTGTAGTCGCGCGTGTTTCAAATCGCATACGTTTCTGTAAATTGACCCCCGTTCTACACCGAGTACAGTAGATCGCGACACATGTGTATGTTAAAGATACGCGAGTCACTCGCGACTTGCGTATCTTCGTCCCGGATACAGAGCTCAAAGTATATTCTTAAAAAATGAAGTAGCATCGAAGGGGTTACACTTACATTAAGGGCCGATGCGTACCGTGCTGGTGGTGTCTCGTGACCGCCATCTTGTATTTGCGCGCAGACGACGGTCGAGTAACGATCGAGGCAGCTTCGATCATCGCTGGACCGCTGCTGGTCGACGACGCGGGGGGATGATGGGTGTAGGCGAATTTAGTCAAAAACTAAAGGAAAAACACCAAAGTTTGCTCCTTACGATATCGCGGTATGGCGAACTTTTGGCTGTACGCGCGACACTCATTTAAGATTATGACAATTATACGTAATAATGAGACGGTTCCGCTAGAAAAAATGTCCAAGTTCGCCTACGTTTACGACTTCCTTCCCAGACGGTGTGTCCGAAGGATGTCGTAATGACACATCAAAGACCGTTTATAAATCTTCGAGACGTCTATTAGATGTCTCCCCCGGAGTCCCGCAACGATCGGCTCCCGCGCCAAGTGCGGGCGATCGAACGAGCGGTGGCGCCGCCGGCATCGGTGCGTCAAGTTTTTCGCGATCAAGCTGATGCGTAGCTCGCGGTCGGACACGCGTATTTCGTGAAGTGCCTAAAAACCGCCGAAAGAGAAAGTTACGGCTGTTAAACGCGACAGCAAGGTCGCGAACGCGCGCGAGTTTTCGGCACGCCGACGTGCATACCGTCGGTGCGGTAGCATGCGACACGACGCTAACGATTGTAACGTTTCTTTTTACTATTCCTCTCTTCTTCTTTTTTAACGGGATACCGGATGGAGGCATATTGTAAATAGTATAAATAGCGCGAAGGTACATTTAAGCGAAATAAAGAGGATATAATAAGTCTAATACGAGAAATATATATATATATGTATATATATATATATATATATATATATATATATATATATATATATATA